TGTCAACTCTGTCCCTAAACTACAACATCCTAAGAAGTAGAAAGTTTACTTTCTAAAACAATTTATTTAAAAAAATTACTGTATGAAATATGTATTTCATATTACTATATGAAATATGCTATATGAAAAATATACTTACTTGCTGAAATCCCAGGTAATCCTGTATAGTTGAAGACACATAAAAGACCAAAGCATCTGTAGTGACAGCCAATACAAAGCCATTCAGAGCCTACAAGGATAAAAAATAATATTACTAACAAATTAAAATTGTTACAACAACCAAGTATCAGATTAAGGATATCAGGATATCCTTAATAAATATCCTATTCAGGATATTATCTCTGAAAATTCTTTCCTTCAAAATCTTTAAAATTGGGCTGGTGAGATAGCTCAGAGGTCTAAAGCACCTGCTTAGGCAAGCTTAGGCAAGCGCAGGGGACTGCAGTTTGATCCCCAGCACAATGCTGCACCAGCCCTGCTCTTAGGGTGGGCTGAGCCGGCTAACAAAAAAGAATGTTTAAAATTATTACACTTCATAAGTAGACACATCACACACTCCATGGCATCAGAAGATATCTCTGTTTCTGTTTTCTGAACAGGAAAAACAGCTAAAGTGAAAGCTCAAAACACTGAAACTTTAATAGAAATTGATTTCTCCTTTAATCTCATACTCCAGAGTTTTTCTTTTAAATATATTATAGTCATTTTTTAAACATGCCTTTTTACCAGAAATATAGCAGATAAAGATGCTGATTAGAAGAAAAATTAGGAGAAATTATATTTTTCTACAAAGATATATCAAGCACTGATATACTTTGTAATTTGGATCTTTCAAATATTTATAAAACATTAATAAGCCCATTGTTGAAAAATGATACATCTAAAACACATAGAATTCAAATATAATACACATATAAAGTATATAGCAAATAAATTTATTAATTTAAGTCTAATGAAACCACCAACATATTTAGGCTTAAGCAATCCATTTTATATGTGCTACTGCTCATTCCTCGATCTGTACCAGGCTGCTTTTTCCCTATCCCTTGCCTGCACTGGTCAGTTATTTACTATTCTGCCATATTATTTTCTTCTTTTAGTTTGCAAGTTATGCCCTGTTTTGACATTCTTCTAGTGGCTATGGTAATTCCATGTTAAATTAGTACCTTCATCCTCTCCTTTAATACCAAAAGCATTTTAGATCACATTAAGTGTTTAGCATTACATATTTTAATTCTAAAAGCCTCCCTATTTCCTGCTTAAGTTCAATTTAGTACATGGTGTAACTCTTTGCTATATGATTATTGCTTAACTTTTTGGAGACTCTCCTGGTAAGGGAAAAAGTGGTAAGATTTGGTGTGAGAAGCACACAGTTTGCAACCACATCTGGCCTGAACTTCTCTCTCTCTCTCTTACTAGCTTAGTGGCATATGTGATTTTCCCCTTCAAGCTTTAGTATCATCATTTTAAACACTAGCACTTTACTCGGTGGATATAATGATGCATCTAACATGATACCTAGCATAGGGCTGGCACTGAATTAGTGTAGGGCATGATTCTACATGAGTGTAGGAATGAATACTGTCCTGCATGATCATCCCTTGAGAATTATGAAAAGACATATATTAATAATAATTAGCTCATTCAACACTTACCACAGAGGCCACATATAAGACCTGGGGCTGAGCTTAAAAGCCTTGCCCCTGTGCGTATGATGCTCAGAGCTGGGTGAATACACCCATTATGAGATGGGATAAAGAAAGTAACAATAACTCTCCTGTCACTCCAATTCTTTCATCTTCACAACCCTTGCTACATGATATATTTTTGAGAACCTGATCATAAAATTTTAATATCTATTGTTTAGCAGTCTTTTTCTAAATGTTGCTATGTACCAAAATTGGGTACCATATTCCAGTTTTACAGATGAAGAAACTGAGGTAAATTGAGTCTGGCTCAGTCATCTTTGTACTTAACCAATGCAAAATGATGCCTTGTAAATTACTGCTTTTAAAAAAAAGAGGTCCTTTATATCCCCCCTTTTTGTTTTGTTTTGTCAGAGACAGGTGTTCCACTGCAGTTAGAGAAACTGTATTTGGAGAAGTCTTTAAAGAACCTTTTCATACTTGATGCCAGACCAAAGATTGTAGGTACTTGAATTCAGCAAAATAACCCAATATAGTCCAACAGTCCATAATAGTAATAGGTTATCAGCAGAACTGGCAATTGTCTGAAGTTGTTGATGTGGGTCTTTTACAGCTCAGTATATTAATACAGCCTTCCTTTTGTACCTTGTGGTTATACTTTTCTGTTGGATGATTAATACCAAGTTAAAGCAAGACCTATACAATTAAAAATGTAACGTTTGCTATCTGACAAGGTCAGTCAAATCCTCTCAGGATTTACCCTGGAACCATGTACAGGACCTTGTAGGTCTTTGGTCAGTGTTAGCCATCTGGATGAGGCAAATCACTGCTTTTGATTGCAAATTGTTGCCTAGCTCTTGTTCTTTAACTACCACTGATATCTCTGATCTGTGATTGCAAAAGAATAGATAATATCTGGCAATATTCCTTGAATAAAGATCCTACATATTAGGAACTTGAATATTCAATGATAAACCCAGCTCAAAATTGATATTCTTTTTTTTTTTTTTTGTATTTTAGGGAAGGGTCTACAGGGTGTTCAGGGTCTCACTACTAGATCACACTCATGGTGATCTACCTGTTTACAGCCTAAGAGCTGGGATTACAGTGCACTACCATGTCCAGTCTCAATTGCAGTCTCAGCGCACCCTGGGGGCAAGGCCAGCACAGTAGGCCCAGCGATTGAACCCATGGCTCTTGTGCCTGCTCACAGGTGCTTTAATCCACTGAGCTATTCAGCCGTCCCTGATATTCTTAAATCTGGTGGGCAATAACAGAACATACCCATTACTATACTCTTTCATACTAAAGGTATATTTTTTTCTAGAGAACAATAATTTATCATTCATATTATTTTAAAGAACTTTTTCAAATAGCAAAACAAATGTAGTACATCTAAAAACTCAGCAATACATCAGAAGATAAAAGGATAATTTAGGACATGGTATCAAATCCTTTCAGGCAAATATTGTCAGAAATAATAAAATGAGATACACCCTAAAATTAAAGTTTATTGAAAGCAAGTGTTAATATTCAATTATTTGTCCTATCTTGCATAACTACATCTGCTGATCTGAGCAAAAGATTTGACAATAAAAATAGAAAAAGCAACAACCATTGTTAATTTGCAATTCTTTTTTTGCAAATCTGTAAAATATGTATTGTATGTTACTCTGTTTCTGTCTTCGCATTTATTATTTGCTCATGCTTTTGTTTTTACTCTTCAAAACAAAATAAATTTAAAGAAAAAGAATACATATATAAAATTCTTTTCATATAGCTCAAATGATCTTAAATACATCCAGAAACAAGGTTATTACTTACACTGAATTATTTCCTTGGCAAATTAACAAAGAATATGGTACCAATATAAAGACAGCTTTCTTCTAGTTTTATTAACAAATTATTGCCCTCTCAAAATCATGCTGAGGTTACCTGACCACTTAATACAGATATGAGAAGCAAATGACCATTCATACTGCGAACATCCTTTGGAGTTTACTTTTGGCTACAAGCTGCCCTGGGTGTTGGACATGGAGCTTCAGGATTGAACATTTGCCCCAGTGGTTTTCAGATTTGCTTTGGTCTACTTCCTACCTATCCCCAATTCCTTGTTTTTGGGATGGAACTGTTTACCCAATGTCATTGTATATGATCTTTAACTTTCTTTTTGATTTTTATAAGCACGCATACATGAGAGGTTACTTTGAGTCTCTGGAAACACTTTGGACTTGGTCTGTTCAGCAAGGATAAACTTGTAGGCCTGGCAACTCTTTATGATGGACTAAGTGAACATTACATAAAGAATATAAGCCTTCTGGGGACCAGAGGCAAAGTGTTACAGTTTAGATTTAAAATCTCCCCCAGAAATCTCATGTGTTTGGAAGTTGACTGGATCAAAGGGGTGCCATACTCATGAGTGGATTCATCCAATAAGTACTCCGTATTTCACAGGCTCTTAGAAGTGGGGTACAGCTGGGGAAGCAAGTCACTGGGGCTGTGACCCGGAAGGCAGATTCTCGTCCCTCTTTCTGACTCCTTCCTTCTCCCTGAGCTTCTGGGACCCCACGATGTGAGCAGCTTTCCCCTGCCACGTCTTCTACCATGCTGTGTACACCTTGGGGAGAGCTGACCATGGGCTAAACACTATAAATAGTCAGTCAACTAAACCTCTCATCCTTTAATCTGTGCACTTCAGATATTCCGTCTCCGCAACGAAAAAGCTGATTAGTAGATTCCTCATAAAGAAACATGACCCTAAACAAATGTGAGTGTCATGCTACCTACTGAAGAATAGTCTACAAATGGCATCAATGTAACTTATAACATGTGTGTTCATTTTAACTACGGAAGGCTCTTCAATTTTCAGATAGGGAAGAAATGTATAATTCTAGCTTTGTATTAGTACTAGTCTGCATCCTTGGGAAATGATATGCCTGTCTTAACATTTTAGAAAAAAATCATTTGATCACAACTTAAACCAACTTATGAACTGTTGGACCAATCAGTATTTCATTATTAACTTACTATATCACCGAGAGTATGTCTAGTCACATTAACCAGCAATTATTAGAATGTTTTCCTATGACCTAAATGAGGAATTATGTCTTAGCTAAATATACAGAATGATCCCCACCAGAGAGTTGAAGAGGAATCATGCTTGAATATATTCAACTTATTTAGCACCATGAAAGCATGGTAAACTTTGAAAAGCACAGAAACTTGGACAAAATTAGAAAAGTATATAAATAGTTCAGCAGATTAAAAGCTCCTGCAAGCAGGCACAGTGGCCAGGGGTTTGGGGCGTGCTAAGACGGCGACTGAGACTGGGCGTGGTGGTGCGCCTGTAATCCCAGCTCTTGAGAGGCTGTAAACAGGCGGATCACTACAAGTCTGATCTAGTAGTGAAACCCTGAGTACCCTGTAGACCCTTCCATAAAACACAGAAAAAAGTATAACAAATGTTATAAATTATTAGGCTGCACTCTAGCATTAACTAATGGGCTAATGGAGTTACTAAACCTTGTGACAACTTTTTATCACATAGAAAACTAAGTTCTTCATTCAGTTCACTGGATGAAATTGAAAATGAAAATGTAATGACAATACACTGCATACATCTCATTATATCTCATTTCAACAAAATAAATATTGGAAAATGCTAAGGACATTCAAACACAGTATCAGTTCTATTAGAAAGAAAATAGACTTTAAAAAGATTTAGAATGCTTTCATAGACAAATTAGAAACTCTATGATTTAAACACAGGAAGCAGAATTGAAGTTACTGAGAAAATATATACCACTTGAACTAAGTTAACATAACTGTTAAAATGACATGTAAACCATAAGACAATACTGAAAGAGTAAAGTTCAGATTCAGAAAAATTCAAAATATTAAATAAATGCACTTATGCATTTTAATTGAGCTACATTCTAAAAAAGCTAGAACAATAATTTCTTACATACAACATGTATTTAAGGCAGGGTTTGTGTGATGACCTAGCCTCTAATGAATCTGCTTCTCATAATTTTATTTTATCAGACAGTAGTGCACATCAATGCTGTACTTCATACAAAAATGGCAGAAAAGACTAGGTGAGTACTAAACTTGGAATTACTAAAAGATCAGTTGGTTAGTCTTACCTTTAAAACTGTCCTCATTTTAAGAAATTATATTTACTAAAATTTACCTGTAATAAAAGTTCTCCTTCTTGTAAGTCGAGGGGATCTCTGAACTGTGCTCCACAGTTATCCTGGCCTCCATTTCTGTTGGCAGGGGAGGATTTTAATGCAACTATAAAAGAAAATAATGACATAGTTGGTAGATTTTAACATAAGCAATATTAAAGAGCTACAACAGAAAACCTCTTACTATCAAATACAGAAAATAATTTGAAACACTGGTTTCTACTGAAACCATAATGACCATGTAAATAAGCCTTTTGCCAATAAGTGGTTTCCAGTTCTACACTAATAACAAAACTAAAGCATGTAATCAAGTTTTCAGCTAAGGTTGTTCAATAAAAGTTTTCATGATTTCACTATATGAGGTTCACTGTGTAACTTAGAAGTTTGAAAGAACCCTATAATACTGGCATAAGCACGTCCGATTCATACTTACTTATTTATGGGACTAAAGAATGTAACCTACAAAAATGTTTTCAACATCTAAATATCAAGGAACTAGTGGTAAAAGGGAGAAAGAAGCAACCATATGCCTTACTAAGCAATGTATTTCTTTAAAAATGCAGTATTCATTTGTTTGGCTTTTGGGTTAAAAATCTGTTAATACTGTCATTAAGTTCATGTTAAATATATCAACCAACTGATGAAGAATTAACATTTTATGTTGAATTGTCCTATCCAACGTATATGGTTCTCCATTTGTTCAATTGTATCTTTTTGTCCTGTTTAAAGTTGTTCACAAATAAGATGCATCTGTGGATTTATTCCTAGGTACTATGTCTTGTACAATGCTAGTTCCTTCATTACAGCTTCTAACTGCGCATGGGCTACAAGCATGAAAGGAAGCATGAAGCCACACAGACGTTTACTACAGAGGCAGCACGCTGTGCTGCTGCTTCTTGCCTTCTCTCACTGTTTGCACATGTGTGTGCACATGTGTGCATTTAATTTTGGAGGCAGCAGAGCTAAATAGAATAACTGTAGTTCTATTTACTTAGTTCCATTTCTTTAAGGATCTTATTAAACATTTCAAGATATCTCAAAAGTATGTGTCATATGTCTGTAATCCCAGCTATTTTGGAAGATGAAGCAGAAGGATGGCAAATTTGAAGTCAACTTGGGCAATTCTAGAAGACTCTGTCTCAAAAAAGTGTGAAGCGCTAAGGATGTGGCCCGATGGCAGAGCACCCCTGGGTTTCATTCCCAGTGCCTCCAAAAAAGGGAAAGAAACCATATGATGAAACCTATCTGATATATCTGATAGATGTGGGCATTAATCATAGCTTTGCTATTTACTAAATGGGCTAAATGGGTACTTTTCAGCATATTTCATAATTCTCTGTGGCATGGTAATTACAAAAATGAAGTCCATCCTCTTGTGAGGGCAATGAGAATATAGTTGGAGTTCCTGATATACAGCAGATTGGTTGTTCAAATAAATGGTAGCTTGTATTTACTAGTGGTGCTTCCAGAGTTTAACAATTGCTTCTTTTAAAATATAAACTTTTAAATAATTTCCATTTTTGTCTTTCAGCTTTTCTAATCTTTTGTTCATCTGTCATACTTAAATAAAAGTCATTAAACAAAATTGACTTGCCAGTCCATGCAAGACTTTTGATTTCATTAGATTTTATGTGCTCATTGAATAAGCTGGCTCAGGGAGCCAACAAGATTTACTCATAACTAGACTGGCACTGGTTTAAGCAATGCATCACATAAACATTTTTCAGGTGAGCAGCATGCTTTCTGGTAAACCATCAGTGTATGTGTCACACCAGAATCACGTGCCAAGTTCTTGCCTTTGCAGAAGGTGGAAGTTATCTCTAAAAGAAGAGACCAGAAGTTTGGCCTCTAAATATAACAATTTCCAAAGGCCAAAGAACAGATTTCCTTTGGGCACAAAAAAACTGTAAGGCAAATTGAACTAACAGTTTTTTATAAAGACCAAAAATAAATAAAAAACCAAACAAATATGTAAACTTTTCTCACTGCAAGGTAGAAAATTATTTTATTTTGTAAGGTATGTCCCTAATGCTTTTTAATAATCAAATCTGCAATACAGTAAAACCTCACAATGTCAAAGCAAAAGATACTCTGCTGCTTTTCCAAATGCTTAAATGTAAAGTACAATTTAAGTGCAAAGTACAATTTGTACTAAGACTTGCTAAGAAGAAAACAACACCCAAATCAAAACCCTTACATTAAAAAATACACAAACTAAGTCTAAAGATGAACAGGTTATCCCAGTGTCAAATTACAAATGCCTTAATAACCATTAGGGAATCTTAAAATAAAGCTTTAATCAGTGGAGCTGATCTCAGTTCTAACTACAGTCACCAAGGGAAACACTTCTTAACCACAAGAAGTTGAATGAGGATGAGACTGTTCATCTCCGAGTAATTCTCAATTTTTTCAGGTTTGTATTAAGTGTATCAGACAAGGTAAGTGGACCTTTGGCAAATTCTGCCTTTAAGTAGGGTATACAAGTTCTGGAGACAAAGTACCAGAAAAGAATGTTCAAAAATATTGTGCTGCAATGGAGTTTAATTAGTATAGGAAATTAGATGTTAGAAAAACTAATGGAACAATTCATTTTCTAAACACCAAGGCTTGTAACTAAAAATGTTGGGAGGACAATATTTAACATGCATGACTACTTACATGTACTGGAGAGTTCTATTTTTATGTTAGTTATCAGGAAGGATTTAAGTAAATATTGTACAAAGATGAGTTCAGGAAGAGTGGAATCATTTCCTAGTCATCTAAAAAAAGACATTTTACAAAACTTGCTTTATGCCCAGTTCTCTCAACCTAAACTATGTAATTTTTAGCCTTCTATCATGTTTCTATCTAGTTGCTGTTTTCATAAACAGATTGTCTCTTCTTAAAAATAACTAGGAGGTATATGAATACTATTCACTTTCATGTAGATATTGATAGCATTAATTAGAAAGAAACGGAAGAATAATGAAGTAACACGAGATCCTATCACAGGGCCACCTTGTAACACTGCAATAACTTTAAATTACTTAGTAACAATATATGATAATTATCACACTCTATGCACAGGAATTTCCATCTTATTTAATGTGCATAATGGTCTTAAGAGACTGGCGAGTCCTAGCCCAGGTCCAGTGAGTGTGTGGGAGGCTTCCGGCTACCTGGTGCCGGCGAGATAGACTACTCATCCCAGCCCAGGAACAGCGTGGGTGAGACTCTCTTCCACCCCCTTGGGACATCCCACACCACTCCGCAGCACCTCCCCCACCCCACCTGCCAAGTAGGAACTTCTGCCACATTCCGGGAACACCCAGACCCAGTCCTAGCCCAGGTCCTGTAAGTGTGTGGGAGAGCTTCCGGCTACCATGAGCCGGCGGGACAGACTACTCCTTCCAGCCCAGGCACAGCATGGGTGAGACCCTCTTCCACCCCTTGGGATGCCACACACCACTCCGCAACACCTCCCCTACCCTGCCCACCAAGTAGGAATTTCTGCCGTTTTCCGGGAACCCCCAGACCCAGTCCTAGCCCAGGCCCAGTGAGTATGGGAGAGCTGCCTCTGCCCCCTACTCCACCTTGTCCCCTCCAGGCTCAGCTCAGGCCTAGCATACAGGCCTGGGGTGAAACCCTGCAGTTGCAATCCCTGCAGAGAGTGTAGAGGATAGAACCACCCAGCTAGTCCAGGAGCAGAACATCTTGCCACAGGGGCACAACAGGTTCACCCTCAAGGGCAACAGCAGGAAGGAGTTGAGCACAGCAGCCAGACCCAAGCTAGGCACAGCTGGATAAATCCAAACTTTGTAGATCTGCAACTGAACTTCAGTATGTGCTAAGGTTATAACTACAACGAAGATCTACAACAAAGATCAGAAGAAAAGTGCTATACAAAATGACAAGAAGGAACAAAATGCAACCTCAGAACCCAAGCCCATCCATAACAAGTGCAGAGGACACTAACACAGAACAAATTGGGAATCACACAGCTGAAAGCAATGAAGCAACAGCTTCTGAAGTAAAGAAACAGCTGCAGAAAGGCATAGAGGAACTCAGATTGGAAATAAAAAAAGAAATCCCTGAATTAATAACATCTGCACTAAAGAATCAAATGCAGAAACATATGGAGGAAACCCAGTGCCCACCCTGAACAAGTGCGGAGGACACTAGCTCAGCTCAAATGCATGAATTAATAGTGTCGATAGTAAATAAGCAACAGCAGAAAGATATAGAGGAAATCAGAGCGCAATTCTTTGCTGAAATAAAAAAGAACTCTCAGAACTCATAACATCTGAAGTAAAGAAGCAACTACAGAAACATAAGGAGGAAACCCAATCTGAAAAAAAACACTGCAGTAAAAGAATTTATAACTCCTTCTACAGAAGACATTGATTAAAAAAAAATAGAGATTAGAAAAATGATGGATTTCTTGAATGAGCAACACAGGAAAGAAATAGATTGCATGAAGCAGAGTCAAAGAGATATAGAGGAAATTAAAATCTCAATCACAAGCTTGCAAAACTGTTTCAGTGAAAGTGAAGACAGAGTTTCAGATCTTGAAGATGTTGGAGTAGCTAGTGAAAAGGTAAGAAACGATCTCTTAAAAACAATGAGGAAGCAGGAAAGAATAATCCATCACCTGCAAGATGATGTAAAGATGAACAATGTGAGACCAATAGGCATCAGTGAGAAAGATGGAGTCAATACAAATGACATTAATAAAATATGGGCAGAAATAATAGCAGAAAACTTCCCAATTGTGAGGAAACAATCTGACATTCAGGTAACTGAAGAATATAGAATGCCAAGGAACCTCAACCCAATGAAAAACACACCGAGACATATAATAGTCAAGATCCCAGAAATTCAGCACAAGAAGAATCTACTGAAAGCCACTAGAGAAAAGAAGCAGATCACATTCAAAGGAAAACCCATCAGAATTACGGCCGACTTCTCTTCACAAACCATGAAGGCAAGAAGAGCATGGAGCAGAGTACTTTATGTCCTCTATGAAAACAAATTCGAGCCCAGACTACTATACCCTGCAAAAGGGTATAGTATACCCAGACTACTATACCCTCTCTTTCAAGTTTGATGGAGAAGTGAAATACTTCC